GAGGGTGATGGGGAGGGGGGTGATGGGGAGGGGAGTGATAGGGAGGAGGGTGATGGGGAAGGTGGGGAAGTGGGTGAAAGGGGGATGATGGGGAGGGTGATAGGGGAGCAATGGGGTGATGAGAGTGATGGGGAGGGGGGCGATGGGGGAGTGATAAGGTGGGGTGATGGGAGGGGTTGATGGGCTGGGGGAGTGATGGGGGTTGGTTAAGGTTGGTTAATGGGAGTGGGGGCTGATGGAAGGCACTGAGCCCCACCTGCCCGTATTCCCCCCCAAAAAAAGGTACTACGGGGGGGCCGAGGTGGTGGACCAGCTGGAACTGCTGTGCGAGCAGCGGGCGCTGGAGGCCTTCGACCTGGACCCACAGCTGTGGGGGGTGAACGTGCAGCCCTACTCTGGCTCCCCGGCCAACTTCGCTGCTTACACCGCTGTGCTGCGACCCCACGACCGCCTGATGGGGCTGGATCTGCCCGACGGGGGCCAGTGGGTGCTGGGAGGGCTGGGGGGTTTGTGGGCTCGTGGGTTGGGAGATATAATCTGATGCCATCCCTGACCCCTATCCCTGTGCCCTACAGCCTCACACATGGATATATGACTGATGCTAAGAGGATCTCAGCCACGTCCATCTTTTTTGAGTCCATGCCCTATAAGCTTGATGTGAGTGGGGGGTGGCTGTGGTGGGGGGAGGTGTCCTGGTTGGGGTCAGGGGGGAGGGGGGGAGTGGCTCAGCCACCTCCATGTGCTGCGTCCCGGGGCTCTGGGACACTGTCAGGTGCTCCAGCAAGCAGTCTGTCCCTCTGTCTGTCTGTCTGACCCTCTGTTTGTCCCTCCATCCCTCTGTCTATCCATATGGCCCTCTGTCCATCCTTCTGTTTGTCCTTCCGTTCTTCTGTCCCTCCGTCCACCCCTCCATCTGTCTGTCCCTCCATCCCTCTATCCATCTGTCTATTCCTCTGTCTCTCTGTCCACCCTTCCATCCCTCTCTCCATCCCTCTGTCCACCCCTCCGTCCATCTGTTCCACCATCCCTCTGACCATCCTTCTGTCCCTTTATCCCTCCATCTGCCCCTCTGTCCATCCCTCTGTCCACCCATCCATCCCCTGTCCCTTCATCCATCTGTGCTTTATCTGTGTCCCTCCATTCCTCTGCCCATCCCTCTGTCAGTCCACCTGTCCATCCATCTGTCCCTCTGTCTATTTCTCTGTCTCCATCTTTCCATCCATCCCTCTGTCCTTCTGTCCATCCCTCTGTGCGACCTTTCATTCATCCGTCCATCCCTTTCTTTGCCCCTCCATCCATCCGTCCGTCTGTCCGTCTCTCCCAGCCTGCCACAGGTCTCATAGATTACGCTCAGCTGGAGGTGACAGCTCGTCTCTTCCGTCCCCGCATCATCATTGCCGGCACCAGCGCCTACGCGAGGCTCATCGACTACGGGCGTATGAAGAAGGTGGGGGGCTGATGGGGGGGTGGGTGCTGTGATGGGGTGGGTGCTGGTATAGGGTGGGTGAGGGTGTGGGGTGGGTGTGCTATGGGATGGGTGCTGGTGTGGAATGGGTGCTGCACTGGGGCTGGTTGCTGACCTCCATGCCCACAGCTGTGTGAGGAGCTGCGTGCCTTCCTGCTGGCTGACATGGCGCACATCAGCGGTTTGGTGGCTGCCAAAGCCGTCCCGTCGCCCTTTGAGCATGCAGACCTGGTGACCAGCACCACGCATAAGACGTTGCGCGGGGCCAGGTGGGGTGCAGACCTGGGGGGCAGAGCAGAGCTGGGTGTTTGTGTTGGGGTAGGGGGTGTGCCATGGGGCAGGTGGTGTGCTGTGGGGCAGCCCCCCGATGGTATGCCATGGGGTAACCTGTTGGCCATGGGGCAGCCCCCAGGCCATGGGACAGGTGGTATGCTTAAGGCACTATGCTATGGAGCAGCCTGTTGGCCGTGGGGCAGGCAGTATGCTGTGGGGCAGCCTGTTGGCTATGGGGCAGCGCTCTCCCACCTGCAGGTCTGGCCTCATCTTCTACCGCAAGGGCGTGCGCTGGGTGGAACAGAAGACGGGCCGGCAGACGCTGTACGACCTGGAGGACAAAATCAACTTCGCAGTCTTCCCCTCGCTGCAGGGTGGGCCCCACAATCACGCCATCGCCGCCGTGGCCGTGGCACTCAAACAGGTGTGGGGCGGCCGTGGGGCCGGGCAGGGCTGCTGTGGGGCTCCATGCTGATGGCTGCGCTCCGTGTGCCCTCTCCCTCCCCCATCCCCATCCCCACATCCAGGCCAAGTCGCCCCAGTTCCGGCAGTACTGCCTGCAGGTGCTGCGCAATGCCAAGGCCATGGCCAGGGCTCTGCTGCAGCGTGGATACACGTTGGTGTCAGGTGGAGTCTGCTATGGGGAGGGATGCGGCACTGCGGGGTGGGGGGGGGCAGGGGTCTGATGGGGGGTGGCGGTCTGAATGGAGTTTGGGGTCTGATGGGGGGTGGGGGGCTGGTGGGGGATGGGGGTCTGATGTGGGATGGAGGTCTGATGTGGAGCAGGGGTCGTACAGAGGTGGGGGTCTTGTTGGGGGTGGGGGTCTAATGGCGGACGGGGGTCTGTTGGGAGGCAGGAGTCTGATGTGGGTTGGGGGTCTGGTGGGGGCTGGGGTCTAATATGGGGCAGGGGTCTGATGGGGGGCAGAGGTCTGGTGGAGGATGGGGGTCTGTTGGGGGGCTGAGATCTGATGTGGGGTGGGGGTCTGATGGGAGACATGGGGCTGGTGGGGAATGGGGGTCTGATGGAGGATGGGGGTCCGATGTGGGGCAGGCCGTCTGTCACTCAGCTCTCCCTGGGCTCCCAGGGGGCACCGACAACCACCTGGTCTTGGTGGACCTGCGGCCCAAAGGCATCGATGGAGCCCGGGCTGAGCGCGTCCTGGAGCTCGTCTCCATCACAGCCAACAAGAACACCTGCCCAGGGGACCGGAGCGCCCTCACCCCTGGGGGGCTGCGCCTGGGTGAGGGGCTGCCCCTTCCCCCCTGTGTTTCACCCCTCTGTGGGATTTGGGGCTGCTTTGTGACTTGGAGGGCAGGACCCCAAAGGGACATTGGGGTCCCCTTGGCGGGTTTGTTTCCCTTGGTAGGTTTGGTTCCCTTCAATGGATTTGGGTCCTTTTGATGGATTTGGGTCCCCCTTGATAGGTTTGGGTCCCCCATAGTGAGTTTGGGGTCCCTTTGGTAGGTTTGAATCCCATTTGGCATGTTTGGGTCCCCCTTTGGTGGGTTTGGGTCCTTCTCAGTGGGCTTGGGTCCCTTTTACGGATTTGGGTCTCCCACACTGAGTTTGGGGTCCCCATTTTGTGGCTTTGGGTCCCCTTAGTTGGTCTGGCTCCTCTTGGTGAGTTTGGGGTCTCCCTTTTGTGGGTTTGGGTCCTCCATAGTGATTTTGGGGTCTTCTCAATGGATTTGGGTCACCCTGTGGCAGGGTTGGGTCCCCTGTAGTGAGTTTGGGGTCCCCTTGGTGGGTCTGGCTCCTCTTGGTGGGTTTGGGGTCTCCTTTTGGTGGGGTTGGGTCCCCCTTGGTGGGTCTGGGTGCCTTCAATGAATTTGGGTCCCTATTGGTGGGCTTGGGTCCCCAATAGTGCATTTGGGGACCCCCTTTGGTGGGTCTGGGTCCCTCTCAATGGGTTTGGGTCCCCCAAGGTGAGTTTGGGGTCCTTCTTTGGTGGGTTTTAGTTTCCCATAGTGAGTTTGCAGTCCCCTGGATGGATTTGGGTCCCTTGGGTTGATGTGGGTCCTCCCCAACCGTGCCCCCCCCTCACTCTCTAACAATCCCCTCTGCCCCCAGGGACCCCTGCTCTGACATCGCGTGGCTTCGGGGAGGAGGATTTCCATAAAGTGGTGGAGTTCATTGATGAGGGCATCGCGGTGGCCTTGGATGTGAAGAGCAAAACCAGTAAGACTCCCTCCAACCCCAAACCAGAGAGCACCGGGCGGGATGGATGGGGGATGGGCTGCTGTGCTCCCCCGCAACCCCAAACATGGGCACGGGGCTGCAGCTGGGCCAGGATGGATGGATGGGGGGCTGCTGCTTTCTCCCCACACACACCCTCAAACGTGGGTATGGGGCTACAGCCAGGTGGGATGGATTGGAGGCTGCTGTGGCTCCCCCTCCCAAACCCCAAATCCAACCCCTCCTCCAGGTAAGCTTGCAGACTTCCAGGCCTTTCTGCTGCGGGATGCGGAGACGCAGCAGCGCTTGGCGGAGCTTCGCCAACGCGTGGAGAGCTTCGCCCGCGCCTTCCCCATGCCCGGCTTCAGCGACCACTGAACGGGACCCCCCCACGCTGGGGGAGTGATGGGGGGTGTCATCCACCCCCCCCAACCCCTGCTGCTGCACTTCAGCCCCTTGATTTGGGGTTCCCTTCCCCTGTTTAGAGTTAAGGTGTAGGGACCAATTGCTATGGGGTGGACAGCTCCCACCCACCCCTCCTCCTTTCCCCCTCCCCTCTTTTCTATGGGGGGTTTGCTAATAAAAGTGGGGGGCAGAGCCTGCGTGTGTGGAGGTGTGTGGGATGGGGGAGTGGGGCAGGCACTCCCCTGCTGTCCCCCATTGCCCCCTATACTTCAGTGCCCCCTCCCACTCCAGTGTCCCCTCCACCCCAGTGCTCCCCCTTACCCCAGAACCCCCACCATTATGCCAGTGCCCCCCCATTGCCTCCCTCCCTACCCCATTGTCCCCCCTTGCCCCATTGATTGCCCCTCCCACCTCACTGCCCCCCTCCCATACCCCATTTGCCTCCTCTCACCTGAAGGCAGCCCACCCCCCTGCCCACCCCACACATCAGCCCACCTCTCTCCAACCCCATTGGCCAACCCAAACCACACAGCAGCTGCCAAGACCCTCCCGATCCTCTCAGCTCCCCCCAGGCCATGTCATGCTGCACATACTGCACAATTTGGGGGGGGAGGGCAGGACGGGACACATATGAATGCTCTGCTGGTGTTTGCTTTGCTTCCCATCCCCATTTCCTGCTTCCCCCCCTGGGGGCTGGGACCCTGGTGAGCCCCCCCCAAGCGTGGGAGAGCGGAAGCACAGGGCTGGGGAGGCCAGACTTCCCCCCCACCAAACCCTTATGGGGATACTGTGAGCCTGGGAAACTACATTCCATCCCTCTGGGAGTTTATTGCTGCCCAGTTAATGCAGGGGGTATGAGCTGGGGTGGGAACAAGGAGTGCAAAGTGGGGGCAGGGGCTGCAGGGGGGACTGGGGGGGGCTGCTCAGAAGCTGGGCCGCTCCTTCTTGAGGTTCTTGTAGTCGGTGGAAACCGCTATGAACTGCAAAGAGCAGAGAGGTGAGAGGGGCTGCACCCCCTTGCAGTGCCCACCCCCCCCCCCAGTCCATCCCACTGCTCACTTTATACTGGTCGGTGGGGCCCAGCTTGTTCCACGGTTCGGGGTTATTCTTTCGGTCCCAGCTGCAAGAAGCAGTGGGACTGTCAGAATTTCAGAACTCTGTCAGCACACAGCAGGTGTGTGTGTGTGTGGGGGGGAGGGAGCAGGACCCCCCCCCAGCCCATAAGCACCCCCAGCCCCATAGGCACCCTACAGCCCCATAAGCACCCCTCCAGCTCCACAGGTCCCCACCAGCCCCATAGGTGCCCCTAGCCCCATAGGCACTGCCAGTCCAATGGGCATCGCTCTCAGCCCCATAGCCACCCCCCAGCCCCCCAAACTCAAAACACCCCCAGCCCCATATGCATCCCTAGCCCCATATGAACCCCCCAGCCCCATAAGCTCCCCATTCTGCCCCTATGGGCTCCATGTTGCAATAACCCAGCTCCATCCTGAGGGCCAGTGGCTGTGCCCAGTTTGGGATGGGGGGGGGGGGGGGGGTGCTGTGCTGCAAACAGACCTCTGGGCTTGTTTGGTAACATTGATTTGGGGCGATGGGGGGGTGGGAAGCACACCTGGTCCTATGCCCCCCTCCCAAAGGTCCTCATTGTGGTGCCTCCCACCGATCCCATCCTTGCTCCCCCTTCCATCCCTGCTGTCAGTCCACCCGTCCATCACTCAGTCCATCAGTCCCTGTCCGTCTGTCCATCACCGTCTGCCTTCTGTCCATCCATCATTGTCTGTCCATCCATCACATCCCTTTCTGCTTCCCTCACACAGAATCATACAGATTCTTCCCTCCCCCCCCAAGCCCATATTCCCAGAGCTGAAGGGGTCCTTAAACGCGCCCCCCCCCCAGCCCCACATCTCCAGGGCTGGAAGGGTCCTTAAACTTCCCCCTCCAAACCCACATCCCTAGAGCTGGGGGGGTCCTCAGAGCCCCCCCAACCCCCCCCGAACCCCGCATCCCCAGGGCTGGAGGGGTCCTTAATCCCCCCATGCTGGGGTAGAACAGGGGGTCCCCCCTCACCTTTCACCCCCCGGTGCTTCCAGGGAGTGTCAGAGCACTGTGACCCCCCCCCTGTGCCCCATACCTGACATCGGGGCTGTACAGTGCCAACCTGAGCAGGTACAGCACGGCGCTGCCCAGCCCCACGCTGATGAAGCCAATGAGGGGAACGAGCTGCAGGGAGAGGGAGAGAGAGATGAAAAATACCCCCAATAAAATGAATATTTATCAGGGCGGCTGGAGAGTGAAAGGGAGAGCTGACAACGCTGGGAGATTTACAGGGGAAATATGGCAGAGCAATCCTGTAGCGGGGCTGCAGTACACAGTGTAGCTGTCAACTTGAGTGACTGAATTAAAAGAGGGAGAGAAAAATCGGCTCATGGTAGAGAGGAATTGGGCTCAGAATGAGAAATCACTTCCTTCCCTCCTGCACTGCATCCAATCCTGCACTGCATCCATTTCTGCACCACATCCCCTCCTGAACCACGTTGTGCCCTGCACTGACCTGCCCTTTGTCCCTTCCTGCACTGCATCCCATCCTGCACTGTTCTGCCTTGCACTGCTCTCCTCCTGCACCACATCCTGTCCTGCCCTGCATCCCCACCATCACCACATCCCCTCCTGCACCCCTCCCTTCCTTCATTGCATCCCCTCCTGCACCACATCTATTCCTGAGCCACATCCCTGCACCATGTCCTGCCCTGCGTTGTGTTCTGCCCTGCACCACATTCCCTCCTGCACTGCTCCCCTCTATGCTGCATCCCCTCCTGCACCATATCCCCTCCTGCACTGCATTTCTTCCTGCGCTTTGTCCTGCCCTGCACTGCATCCCTTCCACCAGATCCCCTCCCGCACTGCATCCCATCCTGCAGCATGTCCCACGCTGTACCCTCCTGCCATGCACTGCATCTCCTGCACTGCATCCATTCCTGCCCCACATCCCCTCCTGCACCATCTTCAGCCCTGCATCACATTCAGCCCTGCACTGCTTCCTTCCTGCACCACATCCTGCCCTGCGCTGTGTCCCCTCTTGCACTACTTCCCTCCTGCACTGTCCTTTCCTGCCCTGCATCCATTCCTACCCCACATCCCCTCCATCTCTGCACAACATCCTTCTGCCCTCCCACCTTCCCCCACCATCTGCTGGATTCTTCCAGCCGCCTGCAGCTCCGGACAACAACACAGGGGGAGGCACTCAGTGACCCCCCCCCGACACCACCACATCCTCTCGGCACCGATCCGAGAGCACATAAAGCCCTCACCGCTCCGTCACACAGAGAGGAGCTCTGGCTGCCCATCACCTCCCCTCCTCGTGCTGCCGTTCCACGCTGCCCGGGGGGACGCGGCCTCAATCGCGGCGGATCCGCAGCGCTGCTGACCTCCCCCGAATCGCGGTGCTGCCGGAGTAATGAGGCTCTGTCAGCGCTTACCCCTGGGACGCCAGCCGCGGCCGTTTGCTCTCCGTGCCCATTAAACAGCACTGCTTTGCTTTGCCCACACCTGAGCTCGGCTGTGGACCAGCAGCATCGCTTGGCCACACGTTTCCTGCTGCCCTCCTGCCTCAGTTTCCCCACTTACACGTGGACGGATAGCTGGAACCACCTCCTGTCTGCTCCTTTACCACACGTTTGTGGCTCTCTGCTATGTGGTGGTGGTCCCCCCCGCTCATTCTCCATCCCATCGTGCCGCACCCCCCACCCCATTGACCCCCATGGCTGCAGCTTCCGAGCTCGGAGCCATCAGCAGCTGTTGTCGGTGCCTCCGTGCGCCCATCAGCACCATCTGCTGCTGACACCTTCTGCCTAATTAACGCCTGGGAAGAATTAAGGGGCCAATCCCCCCCCCAGCTCTCCAAATAAATAAGACATTGTGAGTGATGACCGTAGGCTTAAAGCACTGCAGAACCGTCCAGGAGGGCTCAATCTGAACCCCAGTGGTGGGACTGCAGTGCACCCCCACCTCCCAGCCATCGCAGGGACTCCCACAGGGCTCTGCTCCTGCTGCACCCATTGCAAACGAGTGCAGGTGAGGGCTGAGCAGCCCCTGCCAACGAGCAGCTGCTGTGGGGCAGAGGCGCTCCCAACGCAGTGCAATGCACCTGCAGTGCCCGCTACTCTCCGTGCCCCTCCGTGCAACCCCTGCAGCTGTTGTTGGCTACTTTAGAGCTTCTAGCGCCGGCAATGGGACTGTTGGTTCCTCTACCCCCCCCCCCCCCTAGGGACATTGAGGTGTGAGCAGTTCCACGTCCCGCGGCTCCACAGCGCGGTGCCCCCGCCCCATCGCAGCGTCCGTCATCTTTTCCAGCCTGGCAATACCGCTCCTCGCATCGCTGCCAAACGCCGACGTGACTCAGAGCCACGCTCAGCCGGAGCCCTGTGCACATCCCCAGTCCAGTCCTGGAGGGGGGGGGCTGGGGGCAAGGACCCCCCATAGGGCTCCTGGAATGGGGGGACCTCGCTCAGCTGTGGGAGAGGGGTTTGGGGATCTGGTGGGCTGCAGCTTTGCGTGCAAACGCTCTGCTTCTGTCGGTGGGGATGGGGGTGGATCGGAAGTGGGAGTGCTGCCCCGAACCTGAGCTGTGGGGTCGGATGGGGCTCGGATTAAATTCCCCTTCCTGTCCCCTCCTGAGGAGTCTCCAGATGAGGGGGATGTGGGGTGAGGGTGGATGCAAGCAGCTGCAAGCACACTGAGCACAACTCAGTGCCACCCTGCAGCCCTGGGAGGTCAGATGGGGGGTGTGGGATCAGTTGGGAGACATAGGGTCAGGAGGAGCCTGCTTCACCCCAATGGGGTCAGATGGGGGTATGGGGTCAAGAGGATCCTGCTGCACCCCAATGGGGTCAGATGTGGGGTGCAGGCTGGGTCAGGAGGGCTGTGCTGCACTCCAGTGGGGTCAGATGCGAGGCACAGGGTGGGTTTGGAGTACCCTGCAACACCACAGTGGGGTCAGATGTGGGTATGGGGTGGGTTAGGAGGACTGTGCTGCACCCCAATAGGGTCAGATGTGGTGTATAAGGTCAGGCAGACACTGCAGCACCCCAGTGGGGATAGATGTGGGGTGCAGGTTGGGCCAGGAGGACCCTGCTGCACCCCAATATGATCAGATATAGGGTATGGGGTAGGGCAGGAGGACCATGCTGAACCCAATGGGGTCAGATAGGCGGTATGGGGTGGGTCAGATGTGGGGTATGGGGTGGAGCAGGATAACCCTGCAGCACCCCAGTGGGGTCAGATGGGTTTACGGGGTCAGGAGGACCCTACAGCGCCCCAATGGGGTCAGATGTGGGGTGCCAGGTGGGTCAGATGAGGGGTAATGGGGTGGATCAGGAGGTCCGTGCTGCACCCCTGGGGGGTCAGATGTAGGGCGCAGGGCGGGATGGGATGCCCAGCACGTGGGGTATACTGAGGGCAGCCCTGGGGGGGGGCACAGAGAGGGATATGTGGGGATGGGGAAGGGAGCGGAGAAGGGGTTGGGGAGGAGGAAGTGGGAGCGGATCCAGGGAGGGGAGAAACCCCCTAGGATGGGG